TGATAAAGATACCTGAAAACTTAATGATTATGTATATTATAAAATCATGAGTTAGATCAAATGTTTTATTAAAATATTTTAAATATTCATTTTAATTTTTTATTACAATATGGAAGTCTCTATAAAATAATACAATTTACCATTCATTGAGTATAGTAAACAGTAATATACAGAAATATGCACCGATTTTTTTTAATTTTTTTTAAAAAATCAACTTCGGTTAAATATGATATATATCATTATTGAGATTTAATTTACATAACTTTGATTTTAAACCATGATATTACAGTCTGAAATGAAATTCTCTTTTCTGAATTTCATATCAGATGGGTTTTGTGGATATTATAGTAATTTCAGTAGTTGAGATCATGAACTGATTGATGTTAGACCACTATGGAAAACCTGGAAGCACTGTACGACCGTTTGGTCCTATTGTGAGACTCCTCAGCAGTGCGCATCCACGACCTCGCCCCCTGCGAGGTTAAATATGATATACGTCAATATTGAGATTTAATTTACATCACTCTGAATTTAAACCATGATATTACAGTCTTAAATGAAATTCTCTTTTCTGAATTCCATATGTTGATTATATTATTCAGCCTTCGATAATCTTAGTGAAGTTGATTTTTATAGATTCACTTCACTATAGTTTTTCTTTAAATGTTTATAGATTTACGGAAATCTATTATAGATTTGAAATAAGAAGTTTGTGAATCATGTTAACAGTGGATAATATTTTACTGATATATATAAACTCCAAACCATTTAATTCTATTTACATTATGCACTAATTGAAGTGACATTTTTTTGGTTTCTTTAACGAGTGAATATAACGGATGCATGTAACGCTTTTGTATATGGAACATCAATTTACTTTCTATTATCAATTTAATTTCATTAAAAACAATCAAGTTTGATTTTGTTGTTGATGATGCTGTATTTCTGTTATCGATTCTGTTACAAGTCTAAGGAAGTTTACAGTTCATTACTAAATTTATCAACATATTCAACATTCTACTATATTTATAAAATCGTTATTATAAAACTAATAGAAGATTACGTAAACGCTATCACATTCATAATCAAATTGATAATATCTTTGTCCGTCATATTTAGAAATAACTATTATTCTGTTACATGATTTATGTAGTGAAGTCTAAAGTTAGATTTGGTCACTAATCGATGTCAATTTTAGATCGTAGATACAAGGGTGAATATTACATAGTAGTCTCAAAACATAATAAAATATTCGTTTAGTGCTTGTTGTTTTTTAATCAATATCAATGGATGACAAAAAATTACAAACAAATATCTGTCATTTCAAATTTTATATTAACTGAAAATTTCCTACTTCATAAAGCTTTGGTTTATAGTCACTGTAGAATAAATGATAAATTTTGGATTATTCTTTTTTATTATTGTGGACAAGAAAAATGTATGTTATCTTCTAGTGTATTTGGAATAAATCAGAAGAAGAATAAAGAGAGAATTTTAGCTAAGTAGCATATGTACTTTTAAACAAACATCGAACCGGTGAAATTACAAACGCTTTGCCTATTTGCACTAGTTAAATCACATGTATGACAAATCTATTATTCAAAAAACCGTTAAGCTCTTTTTTGATGGATTTATCCTCGTTGATTTCCAGAAATAAAGTATCGCATTATTGAAATAGATAGTTTTACTTGACCATAGATCAGTGTAATTGATATTGTAATTATAAACATGGATTATTAGAAAATAATCATCTTTTTAATTTAAACGCTTAATTCCCGTTCATATATTTTTGCAAACAAAAAGATCTCCTAATCACCTGATTACGAATCTCTTATAAGTGTCTTCTACTTCTAGCTATAAATTATTCATTTGATTACGTAGCGTTGAGTTTGTTTTTAGTGAAACTATGTTCTCTCCGTTGAGTGGTTTAATGATGCTCAGATGTCATAGATTTCATATTTCTAGTGTTTAGACTAAAAAATGAATGCTCTCATTTACAACAGAAAAAATAAGTTTATCAATAATTTTAAGGACTTTTTATGTTTGTGGAAAAGTTAACTAACTTGGTACTGCAAAACTGTAAGTTGGACGACGCATGTAAGAACACGAAGATTACTGATAGTAATTTATTTGACTCGTAAAATAAATCAAAATTATAGATGAATACACTGATTTCCATTTGGTTTATTCACCATCAGACTAACTTGCATAACCATATGGGTCGAAATAATTAGTATCTACCGTCACGTACTCAATAACCTTCTGTGTGAACGCAAATTTACAGTTCTGTACAATTAATCGCGTATAGCTAACTCATATAACCAACTGACAAAGTTATATGGTTGTTCCTCCTCAAGATTCTATCATGTCACAAACGATTAGAAAAAATCAATTTCGTAATTTACACGTATTTCAATCTATTTGGTCATGGTTAAGATTTTCCCGTTTTTGGTTTTCGGGGCTATATTTGATGAGGTACCATGAATACTGGCTAGATATGCTGAGTGCTTATATGTTACACAGTACATAGTGGAATAACCCAAGTAGTATATTTCGTCCCAAATGAAACTCACCAGTTACCGAATCAAACACCAGATCGTTATTCACAAGACTATCGAGTCCCGATAGTCACCACGTTATCCAGGAATCTTAATACATTTTATTAGTGCTGATAAATTGTATTTTCATTCTGAATAAAACATTGTTCGTGAAATTCCCTGATAGATACTATCCAAACAACTAGGAAATACTGAATTATAATCTGAGCTGATTAATCATCAGCTTAGTAAAATACTAGAGTGATTACTTAATCAATAATTATTCTATTGATATACTTCAATATTTAAGTCCTCATGAAATCAAGAACTAAATCTTAATCGCTCCATATGGATAACACCAGTCAATATATTAATTGGTTCTAAATATAAAACAACCAGTCAGTATCAAAATTAATATGAATTATTTATTAAATCATAAATAGTTTATTAAAACTAAATACTGGAGAAGATTAAATTTTTCAAGGTTAATGACAATAGAAAAATACCTGCAATTGTAGTGAAATAGCTAAACTAAAACCTCATAGTAACTAATTGTTTGTAAACCCTTATTGTATTATGAATAACATTATTATTATTTTTAATAATTTGAAAATGTTTATCAAATAAAATGTAACAAGATTAATAAATCACATGTTAGTAATATGAATAAGTAATATATCACATAATTCTGATAAACTACGTCTTCTCATTGAATTATCGAAATTCCCTTTTTGTTTTCATCTTTTATTTGTCTTATTTCATCAAAATATTATTTGTCAATTCTTTATATCATTAGAGATTATGATTATTGGAACAAGATCATGTTGCGTGTTTTGTAATAAGTTACGTAATGAGAAGAAGAAAATAAAGATACACATTTGTAAAAAAAATTGAAGGTAACAATGATCATTTTATTTGAAATAAATGAAAAACAACTTTCTTTTTCTATACATACTCTGGGTTTTTCTATATGCACTTTAGAGAAAAATGAAAATCTAATATGTTTTGTAAATTTTCTATTCATTTTGTTGATAATATTTATGTTGAAAAAGATTTATTAAAAAAAGGAGATTGTTAGATCTCGATAAACATAATAAACGGTAACTTTTGGGATCCATTTATGGACCAATATTAAACGTATATTTTTATCGTATAATTGTTAAATAACTAAACTATTAATATTCATATTCCTCTTATTATAAGCTTTATTTTGGCCGATGAATCATTATTATACGTTTTATCATTCTTGAATTATGCCCTGTCTATTAGTCACTGCCTCACACATTCACAGCAACATTTGACCGAAATTTTTAGAAATGTTATTTTCTATTTTATGCTACGTTGTGGTCTGTTTGATTGGTATATTAACTCAGTATCATTGAAATATAAGGATTCATATTGCAGAGGCTGAGACTTGTGTTGTGGACTTAACTGGCTGGTCTAGGCGGAAGGCAGGACCGATCCGGGATCTAGGTTCCTCGCACGTGTTTTACACGTCCTTGGTCCGATCGATAATTAGCTGCTTCTGATTGGCGGCTTTGGGCCAATAACAGAGATAAATACACATAGTGAATCATTCTTTTCAGTTACATTAAGTCAGTAAAAAATTGAAGAATCGACTTTTTAACAATATAGGGGTTGTGAAGATTATTAAGTTTTTGATTGAGATCATGAACCGATTGGTGTGAGACCACCTTTGGAAACCTAGAAACACTGGACAGCCGTTTCATCCTATTGTGGGACTCCTCGGTAGTGCGCATCCATGATCCCGCTCACGAGATTCGAATGCCAGGGCCTTTAGTTTCTCACGCGAACGCTTAACCTACTGAATCACTGAGGCGGCATTCAATGGTGTTAGTGAAACGACCGTCCAGTACTCCCAGGATTTCAACGGTGGTCTAACATCAATCGGTTCATGATCTCAATCAAAATCCTACGTTTTGTTTCATCCCAAATCCTATTCATGGTTTTAAATACAAATATGGAAACTAATACAAGAAGCAATCTAAGACTTGATTTAAAAAAACATCATTTAGAATCTATGCTAGAGAACTACATATGGTGCACAAACATAAGAACACAAATCAAAACAATGGGAGACACAACCAAAACAAAGAAGTAAACAACGACAAATTTAAGGTCAATAAGAACCAATCAACGTCGAGGTGCACAGAACAAGCTTTGAGACACATATGGAGAAATTCAAACACTTCACTTCTATCTAAAGTTTGTGCTGATGATGTCGTTCAGAAGAACGATGAAAGCTCCACGACCAAACCATCCAGCTCAGATAACTAAACTCCACCAAAAAGAGAACTACATAGGACAGTAGAAATTGCCAAATATTTAAACAATAGAAGATATTAAAGAATTGTGTTTTTTTAGCATTTTGTTTGATGAACAAACTAATTTCTTTCTTCATCTCTTTTTAACATACCTAATATAATTCTATAGTCGAACAATAATTTCATTTTATTCTATCAATAATCCCTTTTTATGAATCTGTAAAGTTTTTCATTCTTTCATTTATCTATAAACAAGTGATTGTTTTTAATAACAATTTGAAATTCCACTTCTTATAATTCTATTTTCATACAATAGTTCATTGTAATCCTATTCTAATCTGTAATATGAATAGGTATTCGTCCAGTTTCTTTTTTCTTCACTTGAAATAATTATCATTAACATAGATCATGAAGAATAATTCGTAAGTATCTATGAAAGAAATTGATAAATAAAATCTATGCTGAATACTTTTCATTTCATTTTATTCTTTTTTTTAAACATTGAAACCAGTAAAATTAATTTCATGTTTATAGAAGAAAAAAAAAGAAAATGATTCCCTTCTCTATCTACATTGACAACAATCATAAAACTTTATGAAATTGATAAATAATGAATGATTATTTCACCATATTCCAAGATTTCTCAGTATACGAGTCATATGATATCGAATACTTTCAATCATTTCGATTATTGATTTAATTATTTTGCACGTAAAACGTTTTAGTTCAAGCATGTTTTGATTTAAGAGTATCACATGAATTATATGAGGAAAGAGATTTGGAAAATTAACGGATTATTGTAGTTTTACTGATTTCTTTTTTTAACACATACTACAATGACTAGTATTAAACCGTATATTTTCAGTTTCGTATGAACATTAGACTTAATTTTTTTCTTAATACATGTGATTGGTTTTAATAGATCATGTTGATTAAGATTAATGTTAAGTTTACTTTAGAAAAATCCTCATATTTAATGAACTAGATTCAAAGTACCACTGAAATACTTTTCTGTGAAGAACTTGTCCATAGCACTGCAGAAACTAATATAAGATGATATGAGATTATATAACGATTGAATGGACTTTTAAAAAAAAGTAATATCGTGCTAAAAACATTTTCCGTTACTTAAAGTACTATTAAGATGTTGTATAACCCAGTTAACAGAATTAATCGATGACTGAAAAGATAACTGCTCAAGTTACTGATCTTAAAACTATATGATGAACATCAGAATGGGTTTTGTGGAGATTTTAGAAATTTCATTGGTTACTTGACGTGACTATAGTTGTCAATTATACACAAAATACTCAACCAGTTTGATTATGAGTTAATTATCAAATAAATGAATAATAGGCTTCAGTTCTACTAATTAAGTTAAAAAGTTATTCTGTCTAACTGATAAAATTTATTCAGTGAGAATCCTGTCATCATCATTGACAAATACAATCTCATAACGTTTCAAATAGAACAGTATCAATCGACCAAGTGCTAAGCATCTCCAAGGCAGTCACAGTATTATGCATTCAACAATTTTGCAGATAAGTTGCATTTCGAAATAATAATGATGAGAATAGTAATAATAGTGATGTGTATATTCAGTTAGCAACATGGTCTGAAACTAGCTAGCTAAACACATGGAACGAAGAAACACTGGACAGATTTTTCGTCTTAGTATGGGTATTTTCAGGAGTGAATACTTAGGAGGGACCCCGTCATAGGATGATGTATTCTGGCTTTCATTATCAATTTGTGATATGGTGGTGAAGATCGATTGCTAACAGAGCACAATTCTTATGAAAGAAACGGCGATATTTTAATGGTCATTAATCACTAAATTTATCAAACGTGTATAAATTACTTCCAGAAAAGTAAATACTTTCAGTATGACTAAATGATAAGAATAGATGACTGAAACTATTAAGTATTATGTTTAGTAAAATGTCTGTACTTCAGAGTGCGCAGGAGTAATTAAAGAGATAATCGATTATAAATTATGACCTCAGACGCTTAAGATGTTGCTAAGTAGTTCAATTATAAAATGATTTGCACGAACATTAATTCGGTCATGACCCTAATGTGTTTAGATACATTCAAAATACATTCCCTAACTAAACAGTACAATTTATTTACAAATGAAATAGTTTATGTACTAGTCATAATTGTTATGATAGTTAACAATGATAACTGTCAGTCAGGATCAAGGATGTTTTTATTGGATTCAAGTTCGAGATGCACTGTTTGGATGAAGCATTAGCTGACTGCACACAGCTGTACAACATATTTTGCTAACGTAATCCCTTTACTTAAGGAATTAGTCTTTGAACATCTCACACTAGTTTAGGTTGATTCTAAGTTCAGAGAAAAGATATATTTGAACAAATGACTTCCAACTTACAGGGTTAAAGCCCTACTCATTTTGTCAGCAAACTAAATTTAATGTCGAGTTTAAATTACACTTTAATTATTTGTTCCCCTAACAAATAAAACTTGTGCTGTTCAAACAGATCCGTTGTTAAAAATAACAGGACGTTTTGTATCAATATTTTACTTCCGTAATAAGAATTTCGTTGGTTTCTGCATAACCTGAAGTAAATTCTCAGAGCCCCATTTGTTTATTTACTTACTTGTGAATATGAAACATTTTCTTCGGAAGTTCACGTTACTGTATATAAAATCTTTATGTTGAAGATACAGGAACTTCCTAAATACATATATTTGACGAATAATTACTTGTTTATTGAACTGGATTCATAGTTTTGAAGGAACACAAAGAACTCATGTATTACAGGATATAAGACCATATGTTGTGAAATTAACCACCTCTTTATGTATATGCTGTTGTAGATAATGTTGATTGTTTGTAACATGTACCATCCTTACTTTAGTGTATGAAAGCACTGAATCCATTCCACATAAAGAGTATTCTGTGCTTGAACAAAGCAACTATCCACAACCATCTGATAATAAATATCTATCCACTTTATAAAAATCACTTCAAAACATCAATCAAATATCAGGGATAAATTTCATTTGTCTACAAAAGCATGATCAATTAATCTTACTGTCACCGAAAGATGAGGTGTAATAATTCGTATCTAAAGAATGAAAGATTTTCATTACAATTAAAAGAAATAAATGAGAGCCTAATTGTTGAAAATTGTAGTAACTTTTCCCATGAAAATAATAAAAATGTCGAATGTTAGTCAAAACTATTAAATGAAAAGTTCAAATCATATGCCTCCTCCTCATATTATAATTTACCTCCATAAGAACTCAATGTTTGGAATAATTATTTATCCTTCATTTTCTTTACGGACCCTACTGGTTACGTTACACTGGGTTAATTAGTAATCAGGCAAATGATCAGTAACTGGTAAAGAAATGGCTTTCATTTATAAGAGACATGATATACTTCAATGATGATTTAATTTTCTAAGGGAATACATATATATAGGAATGAATATATATACGATTCGACTCAGCTAGGTCAATAAATTCCCTCACCGTCTTTCACTAGAGTAGTCAAACGGGAAAAACTCAGTGTCGGTATAAACTCTCGGACACTGCACGTAATATCTTACTTTCATGTTTTCAATCCCCTGATATTCACTTTTTATCACAGTTAATGATTTCTTGAGTGCTGATCCACGAGTTGTTATTGAGATGAATAAATTTTCACTGGATTTAACCCTACAAGATTAGCAAAATAAACACATTTATCGACCTTAGAAATTGTAAAAATATAAATGAGTATTTGAGTGAGTTGCTGTTTTTAAGGAATGAAATCCCAAACATTCCATATGTCAAAAATTGAGCCTCTCAGCTAATACAGTGCTGGAGCTAATGGGTTATATATATTTACTAGACATACAGCTTGCCGATGAAGTTTAGACAGGTTAATTTCAGTTTGAAATGAATGATTTTTATACTCTAGTGAGAATTTTTTGGTGCAGTAGTCGACATCAATAGTTCTCAAACATGAGAATATCATAAAAGTCACCATTTAAGCACATATGCTAGAAAATTACATGGAAGTCCCATGTTTCGAGGAATATAAAATTAGATACATTCACTTAATTGTGACCGGACATTGTGTCGTGTTATTTTTAGTCTTCAACGATCACGCAAAACAGAACCATGAAACTCGCATACACTGACAGGAATGAGCCAAATATTCATTAAATTGATATAATCATATATATTTTAGCTTTTACAATAACAAACACTGCTCGTTAGAGCTGGTGGTAAACTGGCACAGTAATGAACATCATAGCCACAGAAGTCAGTAGAAATTCAAAAACTTACCAGTAGATTTACTATTTTCATTTGTTACTTTACAATAAAAATGAGAATTACCTACTTGCATAGAAAACCACGTATTTTGTAAATGTCATGTTTTACAATTAGCAAGTAAGACAGAGGAGTTATATCTTGCATAATCAGTCTCTGGCAGACAGAAATAATCCAAGGAACTTTGATAATTAATTTTTTCAAAGAGTATAACTTTATAATTCTATTTAATTACATGTCTGAACAAAAAAATTATCATGAAAACAGAAACTTTTAGATTAATAGACTTTTTCCTCTAGTGAATCAAAAATAAGAAATAATCCAAATACATTAGCACATTAATGAAGGGATTAAGTAGACATTTCAAACTGTGTATACAACTCTTTTAATGTAGACAGAACACATAAAAGCAAAGACAAGGGAACTGGAGCTTTGTTTTATTTGTCGTAAACATTAGTAAATGACTACTGACAAAGATGGTAACAACAAATAGTCCACTGATATGATAAAGATGATAAGCAGTGAAGTATACACCGAGAATTTTTTATGTAGAAACATAACTTTAACATAATCAAAAATATTTTACAGAATATAATCATAAGAAAAATATTACAAGTTTAAACACATTGTCATAATGATAAACAAATATTTAAAAACAAATAATATGCCTAAGAATACAGAGTGCGGGAGTGAAGTATACAGAAACTTATATTTATATAGTCAGAAAAAGTGAAACAGTTGTGTAGCAAAGAGAAAGAAATAATCATTTACACGAGACAGTGTGAAATGGTACACTGGGAATGAAACTTCAGTTGGTAAATCTATTCTTACGAATCGAAACGTACACTATTGTAATTTCGTAAAAGCCAACGAGAGTTTACAGACCAACAATCAGCAAAAAGTATACTAACACTGAACATCATTAAAAAATTAATATAGGTACATATGTCAATGAAAAAGTCAAAAGATAAACCGTATATAGGTAAGCTAATATGATGAGGGAGTACAAAATAAAAGATCTAACTTAGAACAAACGATTTATAGGTGTATTTTAATAAACAGATAGATTAATTTCACAGAACCCATTCAACGTTTTCACAGATTTCGCTTATGAATTCCATCGCAGGGAAAGCCATTTATTTCTAATAAGCTATAACCATTGGATATTTTGCTTTCCGAGGGGGGACAATTTGCTTTCATCCCGTTTTTGATATAAAGATCTTCATCTCTGGGTGGAAGTAGAAAATCGTTACGTAGAAGTATGTAAAATAGAACTGGGTTCAGCAGATTCATGATGAACATACTTGTCCCCAACAATACAGTATAAAACGGTGTCATTTTTTCGGGGTTCATATACATGCCGTATGAAATACGAAGCAGTGCAAATCCTCGACAACCTGCGAATGTAGTTAGGTTCAGAACAGCATTGAACCGATAAGACATATTCACTGAGGGAACTTTGTGCATTTGCATCAATTTACGAGTGTGAAGAAATATGCTATTGACTTCAGCAAGTAGGGCGATAACTGTATATGCTATGTACCGAACTGACAGTACATTATAAATAAAGGCACTCAGAACCTATAAAACAAATGTGTGATAACAAATTCACGAGTTTGAAATATATGTTTATGAAAGTATAAAGGTACGTGTACTACTATTTTTGCTAAAAAAAATTGAAAGAAACCAATTTTGATGCCTAAGACTACTGATTATTATTAACAAGAATGTAGGATTATTAGAATTTCTTAGTTAAAATAGTGTCCACTGGTTTTATCGAAAATCAATGTAAAAGTCGTAGCATAATTTCTTATTTCCCTATAAATATGAACCAAATTGCAGTTTTACATTTAATTGCATGCTTTTAGATTACTTTATTAGTTTCTGTTTGTAGGGTAACTAATACGTCAAATTTCAATTTGAAAAATTACACAGCCCCAAAATAGGAGATGATTTTCACTAAATAGTGTTTCTGTTCTGAAGTGTTTCTGGTCAGGTGACATCGTAGGTTCTACAGCACAGGATGGAACGGTTCATGCTGACTCCATATATGATACATATATTAAAGGCATTAACTATAAGCTTCTGAGCCGACATACCTGAGCGCTAGCTAATGGAAATTGCGTGCTTGTCGAATACTTTTTTGAGCACTCCATCGTCTTAGGACAACAAGATAGATTTATTACTTTACAGCGACTGGTAATTTTGATTATTTCATCATCTTGGACCTGTCACTTTTATACTGTTATTGGAGATTTACAGGAAAAATGATTTTAAAATGGATTATGCGGTTTTAATATAAAATTCATTTTCCGATAGTATCAGATGAGTAGTATTCGTTGCATAGTTAGTATAACAATGAATGTGATACAACGACTACACGTAAGTTTCGATTGTTTTAGGGTTAGATAACTTCTATTGATTGTTCTTATGATTTTACTGCGTAAGTTCAAGAAAAGCAATATGTAAGCAATAGCACGTATTTTAACCTTTCTGAGATCCTAGAGTGGTAGACAGGTCAGTTGGAATGATGTGATAGTATTGGCCAAATACTTCCACGAAAATAGTAAGTTCATTTTGGATAGCCAATGAAGTCATGCAATCATACCGCATTGAACAGCCACAAACGGGCAAAATATCAAGTTTGTGAAAACTCGGCACGCGCACATGTTTAATAAAGAACGTCACCTGATTTGACAAAGAGATTCGAGTATTCAGAACTGGAGGATCTAGTCTGAAACGCAGATTCAGGAAACCATTGGTAATCACAAATTAATTACACTAATTTTCAGTGAGAGAGGCATGAATGATGAGAGAACGATAATATGAATAAAAACAAATCTAGTAAATAAAGAGGAGAGTTGATTTTCAATAGAATGAATTTATTAAATGTTGAAATGGAGGACGCCGACATTTCATGATCACCAATACCATGAAATTACATTTCCGTTGGAGAACTTGTTCTTCACAACTCCCTGGCTGGGATCCTGGGGAAATTACAACAAAGTGGCTTGAGATGTCATCACACACGGCTCAGAATAGAAGCCGTTGGCAATCCAGAGGAAAAAAAGTATTCCTACTTCAAGAAACATCCCAGTGGTAATATAACGCGATTCGTTCACTAAATATCGGTTTTTAGAATTCCACAGAGTCACAATCTTTGTTGGTTCATGAAAACAGACGGCCACACAAGACGAAAATTTGAACCTAAGCTGGGTACTTATTATTTAAAAACATAGTTCTTAAGCCACTGAGCTATGAAGTTACACACGGAAAGGCCAAACAAATATCGCCGTACCAATTCCTACTATTCTCCAAAGTTCCTGAAATCTACTTATACTAAAATAACTTCAGGAAAACTGCGTTTTAGACAACAAAAACCGATTATTTGAATACTACCGATTGAACGATTAGAAAGGGCTCCTATATATGAGTGATAACCTCGTATAATCAAAAGCTTCGAGCCCTCATATCTAAGCTAAGCAAAGAACGTTGTAACTAGTAAAAATATGAACCAGATTTAGTAGAAATCAGCACCTTGGAAAATATATTACTTTAAATACATTGCATTACTTACTGCAACGTGATGCAAAGTCAATTCCCACATTTTGAACAATTGCCTCTGCGTGAACATATCCCAGAAATCATAAAGAAAGTAACCTAGGTAACGTTAAATTTTAAGGTTGTACAGTACCAGTAGAAACGGCCACTAAGTAATATGTAAAAGGTACGATATGGTCTACTGGATCATTCATCAACTCAGGATAATAATAAAAGCTGGGGAAAATTAAACCACATGATTTTGACCAACCATAATAAATCCCATGTTCCAATTAAAACGGCATGTAACCAAGAAATCATCATATTGCGCCACTTCCATATGGCGAGTGAACCTTTGCAAACTACAGTCTTAGGAGGATTTACTCCTCGTAAAACATGGTCTAACGCACTGAAAAAAGTCATGGATAACGCGATGCAGACGGTGCCGCTACCGGCACTCGCAGATGGCAGGAATCCATGCCAGTTCATTGGCTGTCGTGACCACTGATCACGCTTATTTGACCTTCGATTTATAATGTGAACGGATAATTTCCTACAGTGATGCAATGTTTCAATATCAGTATCGGTTTCACTTTTACGTGAACGAAAAGCTGAGTGATATATGTTAGTTTTACAGAAAAGAACTTGTCAGTTTGTTTAACTTTATATACAACATACCGAAAGGTGGAGCTTTGTCAATGAGTTGAAGCGAGGAGTTTCATCCGTTCAAAAATTTCATAGCTATTCGGATTTTGATATATCGATATAACGATATGCATTTGGTGTAGACTGGTTATCAGGTGCAATGGATGCCTATCACAGATTACCAACTCGTAATCTGGTACGAATCAGTGATCTGGCGACTTCAGCTAGGTGTGCTCCGAAGATCTTGTGAGGTCAGCATGAATGTTGAAAAATTACAGAAATATTTTTTACGTGGATCTGTGCGTCGCTACACTTTGATTTGTTAAGTTGTCAAAAATAGATCACTCTGGGGTTGGAGTATCTAAGAAGTCTTATATGACTCCTTTAAAAAATGAAATATTTCTTGGTAGGTCGTGGACAGAAACCAGTGTAGTTGGGTTCACAATGCTACTATATGCCGATGATGTAAAATTTTTACGAGAAATAACAGATGATGCAGATGCATGTGCACTTCAGGCTGTCTTAAATGTCCCGATTACCTGATCTAAAGAATGGCTGATGCCTATTAACATGGCTAAGTGCTTCTACATGCACATTGGGCGATACAAATGTAAAAATGTACAACATAAGTGTAGCGTTAGTGCTCGTGGTACGGTCTCACAAGTATCTTGAGGACAGTGAACCAGGATCTGTAGGTTATGGACTACTGCCACTAGGTCGCAACGTAGGGGCCTATAAACCTATGGTCTTTACGACGGACATTTACCAAGCCAGGCATTAATTTGTTCACTGCCGTATGCACAACCTTAGTGAGATCCAAACTTCAAAAATGTGCTCAGACTGCAAACAATGTATAAAAGGTCACTATGGTATCTTTGATAAAGCGCAGAGAGCATCTAGCAGTGCGATTCCGGAGTTTTTTTTGGTTTGCCATAAAAAAGCGGTTTGAGAAGATAGGCTTCTATACTCTGTCCTACCACAGACTAACAAATGATTTGATTTGGTTCTGTGAATTCATAACTGATTCGGACAAATCAGAGGGCATAGCAGACAAGTAGAAAAGAAAAAATAGGATAAATACCCGTAGCACACAGGTTCTCACAACAATTTATGAGTTCTTGGTACCTGTTACACGAAAATGAGGTATCAGCGTTTTCAAGTGACTTATTAACGAGAAGACTAGACATCTCCAGAAGCTTACAAGAACAGGATAAATTTGGGTCACAAGCCTTCTCTCCTCAGTACGCAAATCTGAATCTGATGATTTGGTGACCATCCAAAATCCAAAGACAAAGGAAATGTGTTTATTTTACCCGACTTCTTGTCCTACAGCAGCTCAACTAATCTCAGAGTAAAATAGATGCGGTTCTTTGAACATTGGCAGCTACGTGACCAATAGCTTCAAGTGCAAACTACAGGGTTCTAAATCTTTGAACAGATATTGGCTTGCACTATTAATTTTGGATTGCGGTAAATAAATGAAAAGCAGATTCACTTATTCTGTCGTCAGACACCTATGATCCCTGTTTAGTTCTTTGGTCCGGTGGCAGGACTTGTCAACCGGAAAAACGCTGAATGGTACGGGAATAGATTTTTATGACCATGAACATTCGCTGATAATAATTCTCTCAACATTCTCGATGATCACGTCAGTAAGAATTTTTAGATCAAATGAAATTATGAGTTGGCGAGGACAACATAAAAGGGTTTAACCCAAGTTACTCCTGAATCTTGTAGTAATTTATACTTGAAGCCACTAGTTTTAATAGGTCAGCATGAAATGAAAGGCAGCTTCTTTGGAAATACACGTTTCTTAAACCATTTCAGAGAATATTCCGAGGTCTGAGGATTATAATGAAACCGCGAAATAATCTGCCATAGAGAACATCCACTGTAAATGCTTCCCTCGAGAACGGTACTGAGTTAGTATTTAACAAGATATTAAGGGAGATGAAAGTAGGTGTTTGTAATACAAGAAGTCACTCAAGAGTCTCTCTTAAGCCTCGTATACTTTATAAAATACCGGTCAAGTGTACACGTACCTAATAGACTTGGGCTTAATTCAAAAATATATCCGGGAATTGTCTTGCAAATCACTAACGTAGATAATGTATGTTGAATGATTGAGAGCCTACTCGAGTTAGACTGGAATGATATGACTAACAGCAAACGTCGAAGTCACATCTCGCGGCCAGCATCTAACGTGATTTATCTCTTCGTCCATGGCGTTCGAATAATTGGTGCGCATTGGTTGCCATCGACCTTAAAAAGGTTTCGATGAACTTTTCGACATTTAGTGACCCAGCTGCCGGATGATTTGACCAAAGCTCAGTTACGTTTTACTAGATTCAACGGTAGTTTGAATCGACATGGAACATGTTGGGAGTATTGGCACATCAGGGTTCGCCAAACGATTAATGCTAATCCTCCAAATATTGCCGGGTTGGAAGACAAATGGAAAAAAGAAGACAGAAACTGATCAGGAATAAGCGGCTCATAATAAATTGCATGTACTCTGGTTGAATGTAAAGTGATCAACTCTGGAAATAATAGAAAAAAACATAACGTTTCAACGTTCTATCAAGTCGCGTTGAAAAAGATAGCTTTGACAAGTGATTGAGTTCCTCAGATGAGAAACTTTATGTTTGCCGCAAGAATAATGATGCTACAGCGATAGTACGATAGGTACATTATATGTACTGTCTCGGTTTAAAATAGGAAGCCAGACATTGTCGCTGATAGCTTCTGCTCATAAGCATCAAATTCTAGTTACATCTATATTTTACAGACTAAATGTAGGTAGAAAAGAATAACCGTGAAGCGAAATCGTGATTTCGTTGTGCAAAGCTATTGATCAACTCGTAGTCATAATTTGAAAAGCCGATAACTGCTGTTAAAACCAGTAAGAATAGGAGACTACAGATAGAGAGCAAAAACTGCACGATAAAGTCTCTAAAAGACGACAAACGGTGAGTACTGAATGTTTGTTCGACAAGTGAACGGAAAAATATTGAATAGAACATAGGAAACCCAAAGCGTCACTCTGGACTCATGTCAACGATGCCAGTGAAAACGTCTGTCGGTGGCGGGATAGAGGCAACCATGTTGTTTTCAATTTGCAGAAGATTCACTTGACCGAGTAAAAGGGTTTTTCGTGAGAATAATAGTATCGTCAAACCACCAATTGAACCGAACAGATTTTAACTCGTCGAGTAGTTGAACAGCCGACTGACGTACCGAAATCTCCTATTACATAAAAACCACGAGAAAACTACCTCGTAAAATAAAGTAGGACGTCGAAGTTGAATAGCCACAGTAGTTCGGATGTTCCATAATGTCACGGCGAAATAACATCGTTCATATATATACTGACAGTTGTGCTGAAAGTCCGTCTAGGTATTATCAGCAAAACAATTGGATGTGTAAATACAAACATACGAAAACTATGATGGGGTTTGTGGAGAATCCCAGAGACGATTTAGACATTTCCCAGGTCCATTTGGCTTGAAAAATAGAGTGAAAGCGGAATTACGATGATATTATGTAATAAGGAAGTCGATACATGGTTTACCACGTGAGACAACAACAAATAAAAGCGTGTAGTAAAAACTATTTAATGATTACCACTGATGTAACTAAACTTTAGAAGGTTCAATTAACGTAGCTATTTCGTAAAACGCTGATGCAAAGAGCTTATTATCTAGCTTTAAATATCGTATGACGTGCGCTAATACGACATTTTTCCTCAATGTCGTCTTGCGAGTCATATACGTACATGATTTCGACCAAAACGTGACGGCAGTGACTGAACATGTGAGTGCGTGAAAGTAATTATGAAATGTTATTAGGCACCATAAAAATAGTACTATAGTAAAAATCTAATGCAGTTAGAAACTCTCCCGGGTTATTCTCGCTTCTAAGTAATGGAAATTTCTAGTAGACAGTAGTTGGAATTGGAGTTATATGCGAGGTACTTTTGATTAAATCTTTGGATTAACACAGTGTTGTAGACTAAATTTGTATATGTTCAGAATTAATTTGAGCGAAATACGTAGCATTGCCTGATAAAGGTTTAAACGAGATCTATGATATCAGGAAGTTTATAGTTCAAACTAACCGTAAATTTCTAGCATTTGAATCCTCTATTTGACCTTGGAACTCACCAACTGCATACTAGGCAGCCATTGGGCAAATAAGTAAAACATTCTAGTGGATAGTTTCTGATAGAAAATATTTGATAGTGGTTAGGCAGAAAGATGAATTTAAAATCGAATGTTAATCTTGTCTCGTTTATACAACTAAATAAGTTACAAACAGATGTAATATCAATCGATGGACTGTTCGACATTCAGTAACCCAACTGATAGATGATTTGGCAAGGGCTAGGTCTTGTGATAAACACCAACATTTTCCTATCATTTTGAGGTGAAGAAAGAAATACTGTTTTTCCATTCATCAAACAGAGTCAACTGAAGCTACTTGTAGTCCAATCGACACTCCTCCTCCAAAAGTAAGGTCCTAATTACTGATGAATGATTAATTTCAAAAACACTTCTGTCAAATTTTGTATAAGATTTTAAGTTTTGACGGGCTTGGACACTAGATTTACATGCATCCTGGAGTCGACAAACTCTCTAGGACGCAAACCCAATACCGTTTGATCCAAACTCTTACTCGTTATTTTTTACTATCCACTATCCATCTCTGTTGAAAATCCTTGTGACTGAACAGCAAGATGTACATATTCTAAATGACACTGTTCAATTGCAGTCTTACACATTATTGGTTGAATCCAGGCGACCAATATATACAAATTTTATCACTTGTTGGCAATGAGGTACACT